ACTCCGGAGGCCCACCAAGCCATGGCCCGCCAGGCAAAGCCCCACGGACCAACAAGCATCAGCCACTCTCCAGCCAAAAAAAGAACTGGGGAAGGAGCACCTTATTGCAAAGGAAAGCCAACCAGGAAGAGGAGGAGGAGATCGGACGCAGGAGGCTAGCAAAGAGTGAACCAAGCTTCAAGAGGTAAGTAATGCCTTCCACTCCATGTTTTTCTGAGTTTGATTAATTGACCTTGAATATGCCTCTGTTACGTTGTCTTTGAACATGTCTCTATGGTTGCTGAATTTGCATGTTGCTGTTAAATAGATGCCTAGTGTTGTGAATATTTGTACATGTCTGTTCTTACTGCACGATTATCTTGACACCCACGGCTATGAGGGCCAACATCCATCTTCATCGTTGCCATACGGCCAACATCATCACTTCCGTTTCCAATACTGTTCCAACACTGAACCTTTAACCCTTATACACAGCCAACTTCATCACTTTCATGTCCAGCACCTCACGGCCATCACCTTTATCTTCATCCTTTTTCATCTTCATTTTTATCTATAAACACTTATTCCCACAGCCAAACATCTATAATTTTTGTCCACCCGCTGACGCAGCCACCTTACAGATGACCAACTTCATCATCTTCTTCCTTATTACCTCACCCAACATCTATCTCCTCATCCCTACGCCCACTGCTACTAGTAACTGCCCATCCTCCGTATTCACCCACTATCACAGCCATCTTGACACGGCCAAACACCTATCACCCTTATACTTCTCACTCTCATCATCCGTTCATTCACCTTTCAACAACCTTCATCTCCCCAGCCATCACTGATCTTAACCCCTCTGCTCCCATCGCCCAAGTACCAATATCACTTCTATTCACCTACTCACTCTCCGGATAGCATCCGCCCAATCCCTTTCCATTCTCTAACACCGAAAACAACCCTTTGATCATCATCCACCCATCACTTGATCTCCAGGACCGGACACTTCAAACTTCATTCTCAATCTTCTACATTTTTATCTCCAACACATCACCTTCGCCACTTAATCTTCAATCCTCATTCGTTCTCCTCTATCCCTCGGCCCATCACCCCCAAATACATACTCCTTCATCATCAATCATCTCCAAAACCTGACACCACCAACCCACTACTCGACCAGATTTCCCGTCGTCATCCTGCCTCCATCACACCTCACTTTCATCACCCAACTTCAAATTCAAATTCAAATTCAGTCATCTTCAACTCTCACAGCACACACTGTGGATTCCTCTATCACGCACATCACCAGAAGCCTACCATTCCCAACAACCCAAACACGGAAACAGAAAATAAACAAGGGAGAGTAGTGAAGCCCATCGGCGGTGGCCTCCAAGGCTGACGACGCCGCGGTTGGAAACTGTCCCGGTGGCGCATGGGTGTGCTGCCAACGCCAAGATCGGAAGAGGTGGTGGCTAGAAGCAGTGACGCCGTGGCTGCCGTTTGGTCTCGGACGTACCTGCTGTCGTCGGCGATATCGAAACTGATGGAAGGCGGTGGCGGGGAAGCCGGTTCTGGCTGGAGCGGCGACGAACCTTCGAGAAGGGAAGGAGACCTCGGGTCTCTGAGGGGCTGAGTACGAGTGTTGGGAATGAAGGGGAGGTGGCAAACCCCTAGGGATTTCTGATCAAAATTGGGCCAAACCCACACACAAAACAAAAATAGATATTCTTCCTTGCACCCCTGCTTTCCTTTTCACACTCCTCTCTGCTTGGGTTTAGGCCCGAACAAAAGAGCCTCAACTTTACTCCCCACGTCACTCCTGGTTTTATCTCTACACCCCTATTCATGTTGGACTTGTTCTCTTGCTTTATTTTTATGTTTTTTTTTTATTTTTTTTTCATTAAATGTAACTCCTTGTACAGTAACCCTCACCCCTTTGTTTTATTTATATATAGTAAACTTATTTGTGTTGTTTTGTGTAAAAATTATAAAAATTGTAAAAAATAAAAAAATATATAAAACTTAAAAATGCATGTAACAATAAATATTGGTATGAGTACTCGTGCGATCGTACGCATCAACCTAGTACTTATTGTCCAAAATATACAATAAGAGGAAAAAGCCGTGTGAGTGCTCGTGCGATCGTACGCATCAGCCTAGTACTCATTACGCAAAACAATAAAAGGGAAAGTCGTGTGAGTGCTCGTGCGATCGTACGCATCAGCCTAGTACTCATTACGCAAAACAATAAGAGGAAAAAGCCGTGTGAGTGCTCGTGCGATCGTACGCATCAGCCTAGTACTCATTACGCAAAACAATAAGAGGAAAAAGCCGTGTGAGTGCTCGTGCGATCGTACGCATCAGCCTAGTACTCATTACGCAAAACAATAAGAGGAAAAAGCCGTGTGAGTGCTCGTGCGATCGTACGCATCAGCCTAGTACTCATTACGCAAAACAATAAAAGACAAAGAAAAAGCCGTGTGAGTGCTCGTGCGATCGTACGCATCAGCCTAGTGCTCATTACGCAAAACATAAGAGAAAAAAGTCGTGTGAGTGCTCGTGCGATCGTACGCATCAGCCTAGTGCTCATTACGCAAAACAATAAAAAATAAGGAAAAAGCCGTGTGAGTGCTCGTGCGATCGTACGCATCAGCCTAGTGCTCATTACGCAAAACAATAAAAAACAAGGAAAAAGCCGTGTGAGTGCTCGTGCGATCGTACGCATCAGCCTAGTGCTCATTACGCAAAACAATAAAAAATAAGGAAAAAGCCGTGTGAGTGCTCGTGCGATCGTACGCATCAGCCTAGTGCTCATTACGCAAAACAATAAAAAACAAGGAAAAAGCCGTGTGAGTGCTCGTGCGATCGTACGCATCAGCCTAGTGCTCATTACGCAAAACAATAAAAAACAAAGAAAAAGCCGTGTGAGTGCTCGTGCGATCGTACGCATCAGCCTAGTGCTCATTACGCAAAACAATAAAAAATAATGAAAAAGCCGTGTGAGTACTCGTGCGATCGTACGCATCAGCCTAGTGCTCATTACGCAAAAAATTGAAAAACAACGAAAAAGCCGTGTGAGTGCTCGTGCGATCGTACGCATCAGCCTAGTGCTCATTACGCAAAACAATAAAAAATAATGAAAAAGCCGTGTGAGTGCTCGTGCGATCGTACGCATCAGCCTAGTGCTCATTACGCAAAACAATAAAAAACAAGGAAAAAGCCGTGTGAGTGCTCGTGCGATCGTACGCATCAGCCTAGTGCTCATTACGCAAAACAATAAAAAATAATGAAAAAGCCGTGTGAGTACTCGTGCGATCGTACGCATCAGCCTAGTGCTCATTACGCAAAAAATTGAAAAACAACGAAAAAGCCGTGTGAGTGCTCGTGCGATCGTACGCATCAGCCTAGTGCTCATTACGCAAAACAATAAAAAATAATGAAAAAGCCGTGTGAGTGCTCGTGCGATCGTACGCATCAGCCTAGTGCTCATTACGCAAAACAATAAAAAACAAGGAAAAAGCCGTGTGAGTGCTCGTGCGATCGTACGCATCAGCCTAGTGCTCATTACGCAAAACAATAAAAAATAATGAAAAAGCCGTGTGAGTACTCGTGCGATCGTACGCATCAGCCTAGTGCTCATTACGCAAAAAATTGAAAAACAACGAAAAAGCCGTGTGAGTGCTCGTGCGATCGTACGCATCAGCCTAGTGCTCATTACGCAAAACAATAAAAAATAATGAAAAAGCCGTGTGAGTGCTCGTGCGATCGTACGCATCAGCCTAGTGCTCATTACGCAAAACAATAAAAAACAAGGAAAAAGCCGTGTGAGTGCTCGTGCGATCGTACGCATCAGCCTAGTGCTCATTACGCAAAACAATAAAAAATAATGAAAAAGCCGTGTGAGTACTCGTGCGATCGTACGCATCAGCCTAGTGCTCATTACGCAAAAAATTGAAAAACAACGAAAAAGCCGTGTGAGTGCTCGTGCGATCGTACGCATCAGCCTAGTGCTCATTACGCAAAACAATAAAAAATAATGAAAAAGCCGTGTGAGTGCTCGTGCGATCGTACGCATCAGCCTAGTGCTCATTACGCAAAACAATAAAAAACAAGGAAAAAGCCGTGTGAGTGCTCGTGCGATCGTACGCATCAGCCTAGTGCTCATTACGCAAAACATAAGAGAAAAAAGTCGTGTGAGTGCTCGTGCGATCGTACGCATCAGCCTAGTACTCATTACGCAAAACAATAAGAGGAAAAAGCCGTGTGAGTGCTCGTGCGATCGTACGCATCAGCCTAGTACTCATTACGCAAAACAATAAGAGGAAAAAGCCGTGTGAGTGCTCATGCGATCGTACGCATCAGCCTAGTACTCATTACGCAAAACAATAAGAGGAAAAAGCCGTGTGAGTGCTCGTGCGATCGTACGCATCAGCCTAGTACTCATTACGCAAAACAATAAGAGGAAAAAGCCGTGTGAGTGCTCGTGCGATCGTACGCATCAGCCTAGTACTCATTACGCAAAACAATAAAAAGAGAAAGCCGCGTGAGTGCTCGTGCGATCGTACGCATCAGCCTAGTACTCATTACGCAAAAAATATAAATATTACAATAAAAATAACAAAAAAATGTAAAATCTTCAAAAACTAAAAACATTCACTTTTTCAAAACTACAAACAATATCGCCTTTCCAGAACTACGTGATCCTTGATTCTCCATCAAAAGTGGAGATACGTAGGAGCAAGGCTAGTCCTTGTCAGGCTCACTCTCCCAAAAATCCAAACAATTTTGCAAACAGTTTCTCAAGCAGTTTTCAAATGAACTACGGAACCCTGATTTCTCATTCTGAATGGGAATACGTAGGAGCAAGGTCAATCCTTGTCGGGCCCAAAAAACTAAAAAATATTGTTTGTTTCTTTAGAGTTTTATTTTAAGGGAAAGTTAAACACTTTGAAAACCACATCCATATTCGCGCATTTAGTTAAAGGTACTGCCTTAGGGCAGGCGTTGTAGGGTGCTAACACCTTCCCTACACGTAACCGACTCCCGAACCAAGAATCTGGTTCTAATAGACCATGCTTTATTATTTTATGGTTTTTCCGTAGTTTTCCAGAATAAACTATGGTGGCGACTCCAAATCTCTTTTCCAAACTATTTATTCTTTTATTGGATCGTCGTCCCGTCGCGATTCCGGTTGCGACAGATGGCGACTCCACTGGGGATTATGCCAGAGAGTCAGGCCATTTAATTAGATGTGCGAATTCAATGTGGTTTTTCTTTGTGTTTTTCTTCCCTTTCTTTTTCTTTATCTTTGTTTGATATTTGTCATAATTGTATATGTGTTTGTTTTGATTATATTGAACCCTAGGGTAGGAAACATGTTATATCTGCCTGGGAATCTTCTGGTTGTTTTGCAGGTAAGGGTTTGGGGTGTACAATTGCATTCTCCCTTCACACACACACATTATATGCATATCATGAGTGAGGCCCTATACCCGGGTCTGAGCGCAACTTAGAAATAGAGGGGTTGTGTAGCGGTGTTACTCTGGGATGTACTTCCTGTTTGGCTATCGTGAGAACCCCAGCCAGAGTCTGTTCTCTTCATTTGTGTCTCCACATCTAGTTGATTACTCTGACTGTTGTGGAGAAACGGTGAAAAGAGCCATAGCTCTGGTGGCCTGACTTAAGCATTAGGAAGCTATCCTTGTGAGTGCATATATTTGGCCTTAGAGCTTTAGTCATTCAACCTTTGATAAGGCACAAAAGGGGGAAATGTGTATTCTTATAACCCTCATGTTTGCTTAATAAAAATCACGCACCGCGTACATATCATCATATCTCTTTATCTTTTTTTTCTTTCCTTCTTGTCTTAGCTCATGTTTTTTTAGTCTTGTCACATTTTGTGGATTCTAGTCAAAAATTGTAAAGTTGTGATTAAGGCCCTTAAGCTAAAGATGGGAATTAACATGGAATTTTGAGTCAAGAGGTATTCGAGTTCATACATTTCGACGAAAAGATGCACATCGAGTAAAGGAGGATAATATTGGTGGTGTATAAGAATTTGTTGAGTCTGTTAGAGGTGGAGGTCCAAACATCAGCAATTACTACTTTAGCCCGGTACTATGATCCACCACTAAGGTGCTTCACTTTCTAAGATTTCCAACTAGTGCCAACAGTGGAAGAATTCGAGCAAGTCTTAAACATAACTCTCGAGAAAAAAAGCTACATACAACTACCTTGAGCAGTATATCCCTGTCTTGCAGTTAACGAGGATCAGGAAAGTACACCCAATGAAGTTGGAAAGCGAGTTCACAATCAAGGGCAAAGTGAGGGGCCTTCCTCAAAGATACTTATGGGAATACCTACATCGTTTGGCTTAAGAGGAAAATTGGGAAATGTTTACGGATGTATTAGCTCTTCTCCTCTATGGTGTCATGCTTTCTCCTAAATGTCAAAAACCTCGTCGATTATGCCGCTATGAATGCATTTGTGGGAAACAAAGAGCGCTGTGAGAATCCAGTCAGTGCCATCCTGGCTGAAGTTTATGTGACCCTTAATCGTTGTTACGAACTCAAGGGGGGAAAGATGTTATGTTGTCTACCAGTGTTGTATATGTGGTTCATTTCCCGAGACGCCTTAAATTCCCAGTACCCCACGGACAAGCTATTGCAGAGTAAACCAAATGTGAAAGGAGCAAATGAATGGGCGCAACTTTGTGCAAGTTTAAACGAAGAACAAGTTAAATGGTATGTCCCTTGGCAGCATAGATCGCAGATTATATATCATTGCGGGAGCTAAAAATGAGCTTAGAAGAGTCTCCAACAAATTATAGAGATGAACCAACCACAAGACACGCAGAAACGCTCGTCACACATGTAGAAACGCTCGGCGCGGGAGTGACGCCAAGTGAACGTTCGTCCAGCTCTCTGAAGACGACGCTCGTCCTGGAGCAGAAGAGGACGCTCGTTTTGAATAAGACGCTCGTCCAGATGACGTGAGAAGAGGACGTTCGTCCACGGCGCTCAGAGAGGACGATCGTCCAGGCAGTAGCGGACGCTCGTCCAGAGAGTTAAGAGGACGCTCGTCCAGTGGGATAAGAGGGCGCTTGTCCAAGATTTAGGACGCTCGTCCAGGCCAGAGAATAGGACGCTCGTCCAGATTTCAGTGGACGCTCGTCCACTTTCGATTTTTCCACGGGCGCAACTTTTGCTGATGTGTCTATTTAATCCAGAATTACGAAGGGGTTACGGTCTTTGGCTCTTTGGAGGTGCATCTCACTTAGAGGAGAGCTTGAAGGGCTGCTAGGGCTCGTGGGAACACTCCCTTTTTCCTCTTGGGTTCTTCATCTTCTTCCATGGCCATTTTATCTTGTGAGGAATGAACTTTTGCTAAAATGCTTCATCGAGTTAAGAACGCTTACAAAAATGTTGTTTGTTTCAAGGGAGACCCAAGATCATGGACTTTTTATAAAGATTCCCTTGGCCAATGAATCGCAGAGAGGGTTAGGACAATCAAGTTACCATTCAAGTCAATCCCTCCTTACCGAAGCAAAAAAAACTTCGTAGTGCTGAGCAGCAGATGGGAGCAGTAGTTGAGAAGTTGGAAAAATGTAGCATCAAGTTAAAGAGGAGACATCTGTAAATAATGATCTATATGAAAGAGTATGTCGTTGAATAAGGACAAGTTACAAGGAATTGGAAGAGAAGTCTCTCATAGCTAGCTTCTCTTGCCAATGGAGCTATTGAAAACATCCTTGAGTTCTTAGCTGATGTTGAGTCTGCATTGCCAATCCTTAACCCGCCTAGGGGGATTGAAACATTCCTCAATTGCTACGAGAAACTGATCAGACAAATGAAGAATGTGATGACTAAAGCCTGCGATGGTTGACCAAGAATTCCTATGTCTAGCATTTTGGGGATTTCTGAATGATGAACCACCTTATTGACTCTGTTTCGTGTTAATTTCCAAATTATACCGGGGCAAATATTTTCACAGCTTTATAGTTTCTGACTAGAGAATTTGAACTATGTTGTCTTTTCTTTTCTTTTTTATTTTTATTTTCTTTTTCTTAATTTGTTTCACAAAAAAAAAAATACAGCTAAGCATCTAAGACACCATAAAGGACACGAACCAGTCGCAAAATCATGGAGAACCAAGTAGAAGTTCAAGAGGGAATGGAAGCCGATATCCGACAGCTGAAGGAACAAATGAGACAAGTCCTAAAGACCCTGGATGCCTTACAAGGTCCTTGATGTTTATGCACGCAACGATCACAACAAGGAGTTCTAGAAGCACACACTTTCCCTTCCTATGGTCTTCCCCCGAATTATACTCCACCCTCAGGAGTGGACTCGAGACATCTTGACACTCAAAAGGCCGAAGGTAATGCAGTTGAAGTATAAGACGAGCCTGGGGCAACCACTTTCACAATTCCTGGGCAGACTATCCAACCAGGTATTGAGAGCACGATAATGAAAAAACAACCTGAGACAAAGTCTCCATCTTGTGTCATTATGATAACAGTTGAAAAACTGTTATTTTCATGCTTAAAATTGATACTAAAAGCAACCTTTAGACTTAGAAACTAGCTTGAAATCATGCCTTTTAGTTATATTTTCATAAATAAGAGAGCTGGACAGGTTTACACTTGATTTAAGTGTTTTTGTGCAGGTTTTAAGGTGAATTTGGTGAAGGAAGTGAAGAATGAGAGAGAGGACATTAGAAAAGACAAGAAAGAGTGCAAAAAGGAGAAGTCGAAGGCACCGCTCAGCGGCAAACTACCGCTGAGCGGCACTCAGGAGGTGGCGTTGGAACCGCTGAGGGGCAAATGGCCGCTGAGGGGAAGAAAGAAGACGCGCAACCACCGCTGAGCGGTATTTACCGCTGAGCGGCACTTTTATGGGCTTGGACTTTTGTAATCTTTTGTATCTCTAAATTAGTATATAAGGGCTTGCACGTCCTATAGTTAGTATCTTTGGCAGAAACGAGGCAAACACTCTCTCTTCTCACCCCTTTGAAGGAGGATCTTGGATGCTTAGGCTACCTCTTCACCTTTATTGGGTTTATTCTTTCATTCTTTCATTGTAATTCATCTAGGTTCACCATGACGATGGTGAACTAAACCTTGTATGTTTGTTGGGGAATCAATGTAATCTCTTGAAGCTCTCATATATGGAATCTGTTGTTTGCATCTTTGAATTAAGACATATGCTTTCTTTCATCATTAGTTAGGGTTTTTCCTCTTTGCTCAATGCTTGCATTGTTTAACTCATTCTAATGCATGATTATTGGTTTTGTCGATACGGACACGTACGGGGAAGTCTAGATCCGGGGAATTTCTCCCAATATTTTACTGACAATATTCTATTGGTTGCCTTTAAGCTCCTGCACTCATGAACTAATCATTAGGAATGCTAGGAATTGTATGAACTATTTGATTAGGGAGAAGCCATCTAGAATGGTACATTAGAGAGTGGCATTAACAATGATGATTTGAATGTTGAATTCCTAAAATATATGAGAGTGGATGAGATGAAATTGACCCCCAACAACATATTCATTCATATATTCCATTGAAAGTGTTTATCTTTTGTCTTTGCCATTGATCAAAATTCATGCATACATGTTTATTTTCTGTCTTGCATTTTAAACTCAAATATTTCGTTTGTAAGTCTTAGTTAATCAAGAAACCACATAACTAAACTAGGCCGTGAGTCCTTTGGGAAGAACGATACTTGGTCTTACCAAGTTTTATTACTTGAACGATTCGGTCATACTTGCCGATTGTGAAACAAGTTTGTGACATCATATTTTGGTGCTTACAAATTTGTCCATCAAGTTTTTGGCGCCGTTGCCGGGGATTCGTGGTTTAACTGGTTAATTTGTGTGATTATTGATTATCTTTGACTTTAATTTTGAATTTCTGTTTTTATTTTTTCTGTTTTTATTTTTTTATCTTTTTAGATTTTATTTTTATCCTTTAGGTTAGATTTTATTTTTATCTTTTTAGATTAGATTTTATTTTAATTTCGAATTTTTATTTTATTTTATTTTTCTGTTTATATTTTTCAGTTTGTATTTTATTTGATTTTATTTTATTTTTTCTGTTTTCTGTTTTTCTGTTTTCTGTTTTTATTTTCTGTTTTTTATTTTTCGGTTTTTATTTGATTTTATTTTATTTGATTAGATTATATTTTATTTTATTTTATTTTATTTTCTGTTTGTATTTTATTTTATTTTATTTTATTTTATGTTTTTATTTTTCTGTTTTTATTTCCTATCTTCTTATCTTTTCAATTATATCCTTTGATTTTTTTTCTTTTCTCTATCTTTTTGTGCTAACAATTGTTTTTAGGGTTTTGTGCCTAATGTCTGCAGAATGCAATTTGGTCAAGAGTTTAACTATAGGGGCACTCAATTCTACCAAAGTAATCTCAACCAATGGTGGGAACCTCACTCAAGCATGGATCAAAGCCAATTTTGGCAAGCTGCTGGACAATTTGAGAACCAACCACAACAACAATGGCAGCAACAACCCTTTCTATCAGGAAGTTTGGATAGGTTGGAGGACACCCTTCAACGATTTTTGAAAAATTCCGACTCTACTCAGAAAAGCATTGAAGAATCATGTAAAAGAATGGAGATGCAACTTCGTCACATTAGTCAGATATTAAATGATGATGTTAATACTGATGTTAACCTTAAGGAGGAAGGGCAAGTCATTATCACTGAAAGTGACAAGATTCTTGATGAGGAAAAATTAGAGGGAGATGAGGAAAGGGTAGAGAGAAAAGAGAAAGAAGAGTTGAGTGAGAAAGATAAAGATGAAGAAAAAGAAAAAGAATTGGTTGAGAGAGAAGAGAGAAAGAAAATTTGTGTGAAGATAAAGAAGTTGAGGAGAAAAAGAGAAAGGAAGAAAAAAATAAAAGAAGAGAAAAAGAGAAAATTTAGGGAGAGAAAAAGGAAGAAAAAGAAGATGAGAGGAAAGAAGAAGAAATCACATGAAAAATCACATCCTCATCTAAAGAAGAATCATAGGAAGGAAAAGAAATTTAAGTGCTTTATGGAAATCTTCAAGAAATTGGAGATTAAAGTTCCTATGATTGAGACATTGCAACAGGTTCCTGGTTTGATCAAATTTCTGAAGAAGTTCAGTAGAAAGAAGAAAAAGAAGAAGGAACATGAGCTTTACTGGGTCAAGCTAATGACGTTAAAAGAGCGCTTGCTGGGAGGCAACCCAGTGGATTTAAAAACTTTTGATTTGGTTTTGTAACTTTTAAATTGTGGACATTATTCTGTAAATATTTTTGTTGGATCCAGCATCTACTGAAGGATGCTAGGTGGTTAAGCATCTACTGAAGGATGCTAGGTTTGTAACACCTACTGATGGGTGTTGGTGAGAAAATTTTGCACCTACTGATGGGTGCTGGTAAGTTGGAAACACCTACTGATGGGTGCTGGTGGAATTTGGGTCAGGCTCGTGACGTTAAACAAGCGCTACCTGGGAGGCAACCCAGTTGATTGATTGTTTTTGTTTGTTTATTTTAGTTAGGGTTTGCATAAGCATTTTTAACATTGAATTGCAGGGAACCTATGAGGGACATGTAGGGAAGGCACGTAGGTCAAGAAAAGAAGGAGAGGAGCACATCACGAAAGTGCCGCTGAGCGGTATTTTACCGCTGAGCGGTACTCTCGCAGACTGGGCTTTAGTTCCCCTTAGCGGGACCCGAGCCCATTAGGGTATTTTTATACCCCAAGCTGCGTTTTAGGGTTTATTTCCAGACTTCTCTCTGCACAAACACTTCCACACACCTTCTCCTAGGTTTTCCACATCTTTTCACTCTTCCCTCTTAAGAAAATCTCTCTTCTATTCACTTTTTCACTAGTGTGCCATCAAAGTTTGGGGTTGGAAGAGAGCATTCTAGTTTGAAGGCATTCTCATTGCATCTAGTATCTCCACCCAAGTAAGTAAAATGCATTTTGTTCATTCTAGGGTTCTTGAATTTGAATGTGATTGTCAAAGCATGAATATTTAGGGGTTTTGATTTCTATGCATGATTTGATGATATATTTGATGTTTGAACCGATTAAACTGCATGATTATGAACTGGAAAACTGAAAATTGCATTTGGGTGGAGTTAGGGAAGCTTTAAAACTGATTTTTCAAAAATCTGCAGAGTTACCGCTGAGGGGTAAATTACCGCTGAGCGGCACTCTGCCAGATTTGGTTTTTTCTGATTTTTGCGTGTTGGAATGTGGCGCTGGTGGCGCTGAGGGGAAATTCTGGCCCTCAGCGGTGGTTTAGCTTCAAAAGGAGTTTTGTTTTGTGTTTACTAATGATTAACATCATGTTCTGTGGTTTTGGATTTATGTTTGAATGCAGGAATGGCATCCTCTTCAGGAAAGAGATTGAAAACCATGGCAACCAAGAGAAAGGAAAAGGAACCAGAGCAGCCCCATAATGGCAGGTTCCTCTCTAGGAAACATGAGAAGCACTTTAGGGTGGTTCAGGACAGGAGACTTCTAATGGAGAGAAAGGTTGGAATGATACCTAACTTTGCTCCTCAATTTGGAGAGCAAGTGTTAGGGAATGATTGGGGGAAGCTAGCCACTTATCCATCACCTGCCAACATAGCTGTGGTGAAAGAATTCTACACCAATGCAAAGAAGATTGGTGATTATCCAGCTGAGAATTATTTGGGCTATGTTAGAGGCCATGCTATCAGGTATGATCCTGACTCCATCAATAACTTTCTGGATACTGTGTGGGCTGGTGAGCAATGCCAGTTTGCTCTTAGCATGGAGGAAGGTGCTGACTTTGAGGATGTTGAGAGAGTATTGTGCATACCTGGAGGACACTTCCAAAGGAATAGATCTGGCTCAGTGGTTAATATTAGGAGGACAGATTTGACTCCTCTTGCAAAGTATTGGATGGCATTTTCTCATGCCAACATTCAGCCATGTTCACATGTGTCAGATATTACTCTCAGCAGGGCACTCTTCATCTACTGTGCTATCAGAAACTTGAATGTTAATATTGGGCAGGTGATAGCTGATGAGATTAGTGTGTGTGCTAACACCTCAAACAACAAAGCACCACTGGGACATCCTTCTTTGATCACTCACCTTTGCAAGCTAGCTGGGGTGGACACTTCTGTTCCACCATTTGAGAGGCCAAGAAAAGCTATAGATGAGGCCTATTACAGACAGTACTGTGGAGGTGAGGAGGCAGCCCAGCCAGTGCCACCACGCCAGGCTCGTAGAGAGAGAAGGCCAGCACAGAGCAGGACTTCTGCTGATACTCATGAGGCAGAACCATTCCAGATGAGGGACATGTATATGTCTCTTATAGGTGCTCAGTTGCAGTCCATCCACAGAGGGCAGGTGGCCACGGCTGAGATGATAGTGGGGATGTATGATACCCCTCCAGCACACAGGTGGACTATGGATGAATTCCATAATGTGGTAGCTTGGCCAGAAGAACCAGTATATGGAGGAGCTGGAGCAGCTGAAGCTTCAGCCAGAGATATGGAGGAAGATGAAGCAGAGGAGGAGGATGCATTTGATGAAGATGATGATGAAGAGGAAGAGGAAGATACAGAGAGCTCGGACTGATGAGGAGCTGAGATAGCATTTACTGATGAATGCTATCATATGATTATGCTTTTGTGGTTTAAGTTTTCTGAACTTATTTGTTTTTGTTTTTAGATTAGGGTTTGATGT